AAATCAGTAATAAAAAGATAACTAGGAAATCCTCATATGTTTAGAAATTAAGAAATATCTTTCCAAAAAACCCACAGATCAAATAAGTTACAATAAAGTTTAATATTTTGGACTAAACGATAAAAATACAACACAGCAAAATTTATGAGATAAGGCTAAATAATGTTTTGAAGGAAATGTAGATAATTGAATGGGTATATCAGAAAATCTAAATAAGTCAAATAGATCCAAACATAACCAAATCAATTTGTTTTAAAAACAAAAACAAATCCTGTCTTTTGACAGTTTTTTCTCAGTGTAACTTCTATGCATCAGATCAACAATGAAATGACTCCCCCAAATATTATAAGATGTAACTACCTGTATAAAAACATTACATCTGTTGGTGAGGTCTTCAGCAAATTTATCCATTCTCTGCTCTTTAGATAAAATAGATTCCATTTTCATCATCCATGAGCTCACAAAGACGTAGTAAGACTGTACATCTCTAACAAAGGAAAATATTGGGGTTACTCAGAGCAGGAAAAAAAATAAACTTCCATTTCTTCATATTGACTGGAGTAAAATATTTCCTTGCAGTGCCATTTCATCTCTCTGGTTTTCAAAAGACAGCTATCATATACGCACATGTAATTTACTCATTCAACAAACATTTACTACACTGTTTCTCAGGTACAGGTACTGAAAACAAAACAGTGAAATCAGTAGTAAACAAAGCAGACACAAATCCTTGCCCCCATGAAGCTTGCATTCTAGAAAGGAAAAGCTGTACAATAATCAATAATTAAAATGCTAAAATCATTAAAAGATGTCAAATGATACACGCTATGGAAGAAAATACAGCAGATAAAAGGGTTAAGGACTAGGGTGTAGGCTCATTGAGAAGGTGATTTTTGAGCCAGGATTTGAGGCAGATGAATCCATGCAAATATATAAGAAGAGAATTCTAGGAAGGTAAATGACAAATGCAAACACCCTAAGATATTTGGAAACCTATCTGGCATGTTCAGGTAATAACAAAAAAGTCAGTATGACTGGAGTGCAGTGAGCAAGGACAAGAACAAAAAAGGAGAGCAGGGAGGGACTGGGGGAGTAGGAAAGGTGGGGAGAGAGGAAGGGACTTGCAGAAGGCCTTGTACAGAGATGTGAAGCCACTAGAGGGTCTGGGCAAAGTGACTTAATCTAACATTGGTTTTAAGCGGATCTGATGAGTTGAAAATAAACTCTTGAGGGGATAATTGTAAAAGCAGGAAAACCACCTAGGAAGCTACTGTAATAATGCAGGAGAAAAAGGATGATAACTTGAACCAAAACAGGAATAGTGGTAGTGGTCAGAATCTGAATATAAAAGCTAACAATTATTGAATGCTTACCATATGCCAGCCACTGTTCTAAACACTTTATACAAATTAACTCATTCGACCCTCACATTATCCTTATGAAGTAGATATCATGATCTAAACACAGAAAGGGAAATTGCCATGCGGAGAAGTTAAGCAGGTATCAAGATTCAAGTCCAAATCTAGGAAGCTTTCTTATCCTGGAAAGACTAAATCAATCAAAAAGACATAATTCTAC